GGTGTTGGGACTCGGGCCCCTCTCCGAGGATGTCTCGGGCGACGGGGGCCCCCGGGGTCCCAAGACCGTACACGGTGACGGACCGCGCGGTGAGGTCTTGCTGGATGTCGAGGTCACCGCACGGTCTGTCACCGCACCGCTTCGGGACTCCAAACTGATCGTCGCCCCAGTGCCAACAAGGGGGGGGGTTCAGGGTTCAGGGGCGCAACGCAGCGAACCTCGATCGCCCATCCGTCGCCGATGGACGCTCGGTGGCCCTCTCCCGCCCAGGACGCGTGTGGCCTCGCCCCCTGGAGAGGCCCGTCGCCGCTCCGTCGGCGAGGCATCGCCGAGGTCTGGGGTGAGGCCTTCCGCCACCCCCCCCCCCGAGCCGAGCTGGTGCCCCTCGGACGTGGCCCCTCCCGGGTGGCCCTCCCAGACATCCCCCCCTCCGCGCCGCGAACACATCAGGGCGGCTGCGCGTTGTCGCTTTCGGCAAGAAGCTTGGCATCGTTCGGACGTGGGCAGTCTTTTTCCTCGGCGAGGACGATCGAGGGGCATCCTGGGCCACCTTGTAGACAAAATGCACGCACGGAGAGTAAGAGTGCACCGGGAATGGGCGCCTGAGCGATGGCGAGAAAAGGGATGGCGGGGCCCTCGCGGGGCCCCCGGGGCCGTCAGAGACCGGCTCGGGGTCGGCCACAGGTGAGAGTGGCCTCTCGCCGGAGTGGCCTTCTGGTGCCAGCTCACGGGGGTCCCCCCCCACAGCACCTGGCCCGCGCGCTCGGCTTCGGCCATGCCCGCAGCACCCGGAGGCCGCGCACCGGAGGCCACTCTTGCCCAGGGCCGCTCGCGCGTGCAGTTTGGATCGGGGCGGCAAGCCAGGCCCTGGGGAGGGGTCCAGACCTCTGGGGGCCCTGTTGTAAACAACGCGACGTCGGAGGGCTGGGGGGGAAGAGCGGCATGCCAGCGTCAGGGCCATCCCGGGCCCCACGAGGGCGTCCAGACCCTGCTGGCCTCGGCCAGGAGGGCGCATCTGCAGTGCCAGGCCCCAGGATGGCCCTGGCCCAGGCATGGAGGCAGCCTGCAGATGCCTCCCGCGCGTGATCCAGGGGGGGGCAGGGCGCTTCTTGCAGGGCCGACCCCCTTTGCTCCCCTCCCCCCTTGCAGTGCCGCCATGTCGGACGAGCGACAGACCTACAGATCCGGCGCGGACAGCAGAGATGAGAGTCAGGGGAGAAAAGGTGCCGAGCCAGTGGCAACCAACCCTCCCCCCCAAACGGCGATGACGAGCTGGCTTGGACCTCGCGCGCAGTAGGCATGCTTGACGCTTCGCGTATCCCCACCAGTCGCCTCTCTTTCTAATTTGTTTGCAGGTGCACTTTGCGCGGTCTCGCGCCAATTATCTGTCGCTGTGCCCCAGCCTCGGTCATACCGCCCTCTGGACTTCTCCTTGCGGGCCGCGAATCAAAAAGTATCCCCACCAGCCCATCCAGCAACGATGCCCAGGCGAGTTACATTGTTCAGGGAAGGGTGGGAGCACGCGAGTGGAACAAAGAGAGGGGGCGGTCGTCAAACCGAAGACCAGGATCAGCCCGAGCAGGCCCAGGAGTCAACCATACGTGCATTCGCGGATCTGTCGATGTGGTAATGAGGCGCTCGGCAGCGTACGTGGGCCATCTTGGGGCCCTCTTGGGACCATTTGGGAGGCCTTTGGGCTATCTTGGGGCCTCTTGGCGCCCTCTTGGATCATCTTGGAGCCTCCTTGGGGGCTTGGGGGAGCGCTTTTGGAGCCATGTCGGGGGCCAGCGATCAGAAAAGGGAGTTGGCGTCAATTACCGTCTCCCCTTTCGGAGGCCGAAAGGGAAGTTGACTCTTGGGGCCCCCATTGGGGATCTCGTGGGCGCTCTTGGGCCAAGCGAGTAGGCGAGAAGACAACCTCATTGTTTTTTCTTCAAGCTTGTGAAGGAGTTGGGCCTCCCAGGGGATCCTTGGGAGGTTCGGTGGCCAGTTGGAGCCCTCGTGGGGCGTTATTGGGGACTCTTGGAGGCATGTTGCTAGTCATCGTGAGCCAGGTTTGACTATCTTGTGCGACCGTCAAGGGTTATTTGAGGCAATTTCGGAGTCATCTTGGGCCCTCCTCCATCCAACGAGCCCAGGGAGAGAAGGGTAGGGGGGAGAGATCAAGACACCCCCTGGATAGGAAGCCGTCTCGCTCACTCCCATCCGCCCTCCCAACACATAAGTCACACCCGAGCCTGAGCATGTTCACGGGTCGTCTTTGGATGGGCAGCTACTTGGTACCAAAACCGACCCCATGTGCGCGACGTTGTGGCGAGGTGCGCCACGCGTGCCAGGCGCGCCACGCGCGCCAGGCGCCCCTGGGGCCCGAGCGTGCCAGGCACGCCTGGTGCGCAAGATGCGCCACGTGCTCCGCGTGCGCCAGGTGTGCCGCATACTCCAGCCGCGCCAGGTGCGCCACGTTCGGGGCACGCGCAGAGTGTGCCAGGCGCGCCTGCGCACGTGACAGCACACATCGGGAAACATGGCGGCCCCCACCATCCATGTCGAAAACCAATGCCCAGCTGCGCACAGCAGGCCATACGCCACCATCCCCGCCGTCCCTGTCAAAAACCACTTGACAGTGATCGCAAGGTGGCCGCGCACGATCCAGATTTAGCCGCGAGGTGCATTTTGCTTTGGCTGGGGATGGTAGCCCTGCGCACAGCAGGCAATATGCTGACACCCCCGCCGTCCCTGCCAAAAACAATACAAAGTGCTCGCGTGCCTCACAAACATGATTCAAGACGTTGCCCCAAAGTGTATGTTGCATTGGTTTTTTGACAGGGATGGCGGAGGGGGGGGCGCATCGGGTTGGCCGCGACTGCCCCAAATGTGGAGGCAGAGTGCGTTGTGCTTTGTTTTCTGACAAGGATAGTGGGGGGGTGAGCATGGTGTCCTCAGGTTCCTGATTGGCTGCCAGTCGCCTGGAGGAGGGGGTGTGCACCAATTGGGAACAGTGATTAACCTCTCCCCGAATGGGGAAGAATGATACTGGAAGAACAAACTCTCTAAACCGCCTACGCCCACAGAGGGCTGGTAGGACTCCGAGACCCGTGACCACGACGCGTCGAACCCACGAGCAACAGGCGAAGTAGGATGAAAAGGAAGAGTCGGACAAGCATGGGAAGACGGAGACGAACGAGGATGAGGAGACGCGTTTGTCTCTGAGCTTGCGATCTTGCATCCCTCCCGCCCCGATGCCACGATAATAGGAATGTGTTGCAACAGCGATCACACCGACGGAAGCGGTAATCCATGATCTCGCGGCGATGGTCTTTTGTTTTTTTGTGGTAGCATGTTTGAATATGTGTTTCCGTCTCTCTCTCTCTCTCTCTATTCTTCTCTATCTCTCTCTCCCTCTCCCTCTTCAATGTTCATATACATATATATGTACAGATATGTATACATGGTGCCCCCCCCCCCCCCCAGAAGATCCCATCTTCACACATGCAAGCCCAAGGGGCTCAAACGGAGATGTTGATGTAGATGTTGACGCAGATGCGAACGAAAATGAGGAGGAGGGATGAGGAACACGAGGAGAAGGCAGGAGGGAGGGAGAATGAGAGAGAGGATGAGCGAGAGGTGGAGAGAGAGAGAGAGAGAGAAAGATTGAGAGGGGAGGAGAGAGGGAGAGAGAGAGAGAGAGAGTAAGCCAGAGAAAGAGAGAGAGAGAGAGACAAAGACAGATATACATACGTATACAAAGAAAGAGAGAGAGGGAGAAATTGTGTTCGCCTTGTTCCCTGTGGTCGGGGAGGTGGTATTCATTTGTTTTGAGAAGTAGAGGGGTGAGAGGGAGAGAGAGAGAGAGAGAGAGAGAGAGAAAGAGAAATAAAGAGAAACAGAGAGGAACGGAAGAGAAAGAGGTATCGGAGGAGGAGGGCATTTCCGTTGCGCGTTTTTTTATGGTTTGACAATCACAAGGCTGATTGGTCCCCCGTTGGATATCCTGGACACTACCCCACAAACCAGGAACACAAACGAAATTGGCCTGGCGAAGAGCCCAACCCATTCTCAAGAAGAGGCGACTCTGAACAGGACCACTCAATGCAGGAGAGTGCTTTGAGGGGCCTGCTGTTCCCATGAATGCTCCGCCGAAAACGTCAAGCCACGATCGACGTTCTGCCTTCACGCACGCACTCACGATGCCAGGCGAACGCAGCCACTGGGGCCATAGGTGGAGCTCCCTGGGGGGGGGAAACCGTGTGAGGGGAGGGGTCACCACGCCCCCCCCCCCCCCCCTGGAACCCCCCCACCCTCGGCGGGGGGAAGGGACAAACGAAAGGGGCACCCCTTCGACGTAATTGAGACATTGTTCGATCCCCTTTTATTGGTTCGATCTCCTTTACGACGACGGCGACGACGATTCAAAGGAGGCTGGCGTACTTCAGATTGGGTTGGGCTGGCCTCACTTCAAAAAAAGAGCATTACGCATGCTGACTGGGTCGGCGGACGTACTTGTTGATTATCTCTCTCGCTCGTTCTCTCTGCCTCTGTGTCTATATATATATATAGCACACATTTGCAGACATATCTATATATATATGTATATTATACAAAAATATGTGTATGTCCGTCTCCTCTCGTCGCCCTCTCTCTTTCTGACTGTGCGCATTTCTGTGTATATATATATATACACAGGTGTATATATGTAGATGTGTGCATACAACGTGCATGCTAGGGCAGGTCTCATCTGGCGCCGTCTGCACTGATTGAAACCCGGCATGCTCTGAGTATCGCGTGCGCTCCCGTGCTCGCCACTCGCGGTTCTGACGGTCCTGCTCCAAGCACTTTGCAGGCTTTTGGGATCCTCGAGCCCTCGGGCGACCTGCTGCCCAGAAGCGGGCGCGTGGAACGTCAATGAACCAGTGCCTGCCGAGCTGCACGCACTAAGGAACACATCGTTTCAGATCGCCAGCCCACGCGTGCGAATGCGATAAGAGCGCGGTCACCTCGAGGCCAGAACGCGCAGGACCCTGTCAGCGCTCTGCCGAACTTGCACCTGCTGAGCTCCCTGCTGTACCTCCTGACCACCGTGCGGGGCTACAAGACCGTCTCTCGCCTCTTCACACACGAGGACCCGCCCGAGCGAAAGCTCTGCTTCTCGGAGCACCTGGCAGAGCGGCGAGGTGGACAGCAGTCAGCGGAGGAGGACACCAGCGAGAGGGCGAGAGGATGGAGCAGAAGGAGGCGGGGGGGCAGGGGGAGGGGGAGCTGGGGCAGAGGGAGAGAGAGAGAGAGAGAGGGAGAACAGGAGAGAGAGAGAGAGAGGGAGAACAGGAGAGAGAGAGAGGAGGAGAGCAGGAGAGAGGGAGAGGGGGCTCTGCGCGGGAGGCGTCGGGCCCCGGCCTGCCGAGAGCCGCGAGGGCCGCGGCGCGGCGCGAGCGGCGCCCAGTCGCGGCACCGACGGAGAGTGCCGCCCCGTGGCCTCGGCCGCCAGGGGGTGCCCGCGCGTGCGCGGAGGGAGCTGGCGGTTCAGAGACGGGGCTTTCCCACTCACACAGAAAGTCAATCGACGTCCTCGGGTCTCAAGGTTGAGTGATGATGGTGGTGATGATGATGGTGGTGGTGATGATGGTGGTGATGATGGTGGTGATGAGGATGACGATGACTATGACGATGGCAGTGATGATGATGATGATGATGATGATGATGATGATGATGATAATCATGATGATGATGATGATGATGATGATGGTGGTGATGGTGATGGTGATGGTGATGGTGATGATGATGATGGTGGTGGTGATGATGCTGCTAATGATGATGATGATGATGATGATGCTGATGCTGATGATGATGATGGTGATGACGATGATGATGCTGATGATGGCGATGATGATGATGCTGGTGATGATGCTGATGATGATGGCGATGATGGTGATGATGATGGTGATGATGGTGATGGTGGTGATGATGGTGGCGATGAGGATGACGATGACTATGACGATGGCAGTCATGATGATGATGATGGTGATGGTGATGGTGATGGTGATGATGATGATGATGCTGATGCTGATGATGATGGTGGTGGTGATGATGCTAATGATGATGATGATGATGATGATGATGATGATGATGATGATGATGATGATGATGATGATGGTGATGACGATGATGATGATGAACATGATGCTGATGATGGTGACGATGATGCTGATGATGCTGTTGTTGATGATGATGATGCTGATGCTGATGCTGATGATGGTGGTGGTGATAGTGATGATGATGGTGGTGGTGATGATGATGACGACGACTCGCTCCAGAGCATCGGAATGGCCGCGACGCCCGCCAAATCATCCGTACCCGCTAGCACTGCGTGGATCTGGGAGTGGATCCCAATCTGCTGCTGTGTGTGTGTGTGTCCTGATCTCGTCGCGAGCGGGGGGGGGGGGGGGCACAGGCCCAGGAGGAGAAGAGGAGGGCGAGGATGAGGAAAAGGTGAGGAGGAGGAGGAGGAAGAGGAGGACGAGGAGGAATAGGAGGAGGAGGAGGAGGAGGAGGAGGAGGAGGAGGAGGGGCGGGGACCGTGGTAGCCCTGGACAGATCGACGATGGCGCAACCCCCTCCCATCCCAAGCCCATCTCCTCGTAAGCCCCTCGTGCTCACCACGGGGAGCGCCCCTTGGAAGGACGAACGCCGCATGGGCGTTCTATTCAGGCGGGAGCCCCCTAAAAAAGCGCCATGCACATCCTTGTGACTCGCACTACGGTCAAGACGCTGAAATAAGGAACAGTGTGGGCTTGAAAGGGGCTCGCTGTTCCTGAGGTTCCTCCATTGCTGGTCCTCTTGCCCTGCTCGGGCACGGAGGCGCTTTCAGGACCAGGGCTTTTGTTTCACATGGTTAGCGTTCCTCATTTCAGCGGCCCGACTGTAGCGCCAAGTAATGGGAGCAGTAAGTGCAAGTAAGTGTCAAGTGTGACATTTCCTGTGTTTCCCAATGCTTCGGGTAACACGGCCTAAGGACGTCTCAAGCGATAGTTGAAAAGAGGAGCCACCCTCCATCCGCGTGACTGATAAACGTTTCGAAGTTCGGGTAGCATCGACGATGAAGTCCCCAGCTGAAGCCCAAGTTTGAAGAGGAACCGCCCTCCATCTACGCCACCGTTGGGAACGCGTAAGGCCAATATTCGATGCGCTAGAGCGAGACATATTTTAGGATCGGTCCGCCGTCCATCCGCGTAACTGCTCTTAGTTCTTAGGGCGGAATGGCCCGGCGCTAAAGCAGCAGTCACATTTCGAAGACCACCCGCCCTCCATCCGTGTAGTTGCCGGGAGCTTCCACATGCGAAGGTGCGCGGCGAAAAGGTGAGAGTTGAAAACGATTTGCCAGGCATCCGTGCAATCATTGAACGTGTCAAGCTCCAGGAGCATACATTCTGAGGGGTGTCTCAGGCGAAAGGCCCCTCCCGCGCTGCTGACGCGCTTTCTGGTGCGACCAGGAGGTATTATGTGCGG